GTGGGTGGGGCTGAGAGAGCTCTTGACAGGAACTGCTCTTTTTCAAGGACAGCTCTTATCAAAACTACAGCTTGCCCAAGGTCATCCAGCCAGGTGCAAGCGGAGGAGTGGGGAATCAAACTCGGTTCTCCCAGATTAGAGTCCGCGCACTTAACCCCTACACTTAACCCCAGTTAACCTACACTTAACCCCGCGCACTTAACCCCAGTGTAGCGGAATTAGGGGTGGACTGAGTCTCAGTCCTGTGCTAAAACTCTGCAGATTTTATATGCAAAGTATTGGGAAAAAGAAGAAGTCCCATCAAAGAAGAAATAATTTACAAACTACTGGAAACAGCGGAAATGGACAAATTGACTCTACAATTACAAGATAAAAAAAGAAGAAATCTTTGAGAAGAACTAGTTAAGATTTTATAAATGGATTGAGGAATATCTCAGAAGATGTACAACATAACTATTAAGAAACTTGCTCTATATTTCAAATGGTTTAACTGGTTTAGGTGCATAAAAGAACGATTCTATCTATGTAAAATTTAAGCAGTCCTAATGAGCTGCGGTGGCTCAAGTGGTGAAGACACTGAACTGCAGGCTGTGGAAGGTCGGTAGTTCAGCAGTTTGAGACCCGGGTGCCGCATGATGGAGTGAGCTCCCGTCTCTAGTTCCAGCTCCTGCTAACCTAGCAGTTCGAAAGCAAGAAATTGCAAGTAGATAAATAGGGACCACTTCGGTGGGAAGGGAACAGCGTTCCGTGCGCCTTGGTGTTTAGTCATGCCGGCCACATGACCACAGAAACATCTTTGGACAGCACTGGCTCTTCAGCTTTGAAACGGAGATGAGCACCGCAACCCTAGAGTCGGATTCGACCGGCTTTTGAGCAAGGGAACCTTTACCTTTTTAATGAGTACATGCTCCATGTTTGCTGTTTGTTAGTCTCTTTTTGCCTGTAGTTGTTGTCTTTCTCTTTTCTGTATAGAAAACTAATAAAATCTTTAAAAAAAACACCCTAAAACTCTGCAAAACCCCTGGTATACCTATGATACTTTAATTTCTATAGTAATTCTCTTCTATAGTTGACACTTTGGTTCTGTTTCCCAGGAAGCTTCAGGATTTTGCTGAGCACTGTGGCCTTCACTGTACACGACTTTGACTCGCATGGCTTTTGCTTTCTGGGAATGTTTATACTTTGCAGCAGTCAGAAGTAACTATCAAATTCTAAATAGATAAGAGAATCAGAAACTAGCTTCCTTGATTCTGTGAGTCACCCTGGCTTAACCCAGTTTTCCTGGACTTTCCTGACTCCAGAGATAGAAAGGAAGGGCTGACTTTGTTGTACATGTCAGATGTATGTCAAATGGTCATAACAGACCTGATTGACAGTTACATTAGCTGCAATGGGTGAAAGAGGGTACTTGATGTCTGATTTTAGTCTTGTTCCAGGTTGTTCTGATCAACTACCCTGCCATGGGTCTTGGAAGAACAACCAAGGATATCCTTTATAGAATTACAAGTGCACTATTTGTGTATTGGGGTTGTGTTGAAATAGTCTATGTTGAATATTGAAATGCTACAAAAATGTTTTCTGATTTAAGAGTGTGTAATGAAATAAATTGTGTCTTGATTTAGAATAACTCTCTCTCTTTTGGTGAAATTGGGAAGCCAGCTTCTCTCCCTCCCCAAAATTGAACACAGTGGGAATGAGGGTGCATGAAAAGGTTCCTGCACCCCTAATTTCCCCAACACCCAAGCCTGAAAACTTATCAGTCTCCTTGATGAACCCAACTAACACTTTGGACCGCACCTCAAGGATGTGGCCTAGACTGGAGAAAAGGCACTAGGAACCTCTCAGTTTGGGGGACATTGTGAGGGCACAAAGCAGTGTGTTTCTTCCCAGCCTTCCCATATTCTTCCCCAGCAGCACTTGCCCTCCTTTCATACCTGGTTCGGGTGACAGTCTGTGGGATCGGCGGCCTTTTCCTCTGCTCCGTGCACTCTTCCCTTCTGGAGGTTGCAATGAATTGCCCTTTTTCTCTGACACTTTCCCAGTCTTTCTCTCCGACTCTCTGCTTGTGACATAGGTTCCTGCCCTGCTTTTATCTGTGCCTGATTCTGTTCCAGTCTTGATCCAGGGCTGAGAATGTCCATCCTGGCTTGATTCCCATTTCTGGACATGGGAGGCCGCACCGGGACCCTTTGATTCATGGCTCCCCTTTGACGTGTTTACAGAGCCCCCATCTGCGTCATCAGTACCTTCAAGAGGCCCAGTCCATGCTAGGTCTCTCCGTCCCAATGGGGCCGCACAGGACAGTGGGCATTGTTCCACATTCTGCCGCAGATCCTGTCCATTCATCTCAGTTTCCCTACCGCCTCTGTTCTGTTCTCCAGTTGGCTCACCTGTTGCCCCGCTCCTTGACAGAGGCTTCTGTATCCCCTTGGGCTCATCTCTGGGTCCTACTAACCCCACGCTAGACAACACCAGCTGCTGCACACCATGTGCATTCTCTGTAGGTGGCAAAGCCTTGAGTGGTTTCAGCTTTCGTGGTGGTGGAACTCGGGGGCCAAGAGGCTCAGTGGTGGTACGCGGAGAGGGTGACTGAAACAGTTCTTGTGATCGTCGGAGCTGCTGCTGAGACACAGTGCGCTTGATGCGGCCAAGTTCCTCGGTAAATTTGTGCTCAAGGTCATACACATGGCTGGAGAAGCGGCCACGCTCATCCAGGGAAGCTGCCTTTTGATGGAAGGCGTGGCGCCGGCAGGCCACACCTCCCCATTCTGAGTGGGCGTCCTCTTGCAAGTCCTCCTGAGAGCCAGTTGACAAGAAGGGAGTAGCGTTGTCAAAGCCACCATGATCAAATGAGCGTGTCTTCCGTAGTGGTAGCCATGTGTGACCGGCAAAAGGGTTCTCATTCTGTTCCAGGCTTTTCCTACGCTCCTCAAAGAATTTGAGTTTGTCGAAGATCTTGGAACCTGACCGTGGCAGCTTGGGAGATGGGCGGAGGACGGACACACGGCTGGAGGCCTCGCTCAGTGGTGTCTGGGGCCGTGATTCCCCCGTGCCAGTCTGAGAGTAGCCAGATGACTTAGGGCGCTTCAGCTTCTCATCAAACTCCTCTGATGCTGTATCTTGGAACTCAGGAGGCATTAGCAACTTCCTGCGAGGAGCCACTGGTGGTGTGGGGCCACGGCTGGGTCCAGGTGGTTGGGCTGGGCACTGTCCTGCCCGGGGGGACACTGGCCGCTGGAGAGGAGGTTTCTGTACAGGTGGATGGAGGGTATTTGTGCTGGCTTTGCTGCTCTTGTTGCTATCATCCCTCCGGTACCCACCTTGGGGGAGGCTACTGCAGTTGGAAAACAAGGCATGGCATGGTTTGCTAAGGTAGGTGAGCCTGAAAATTCAGGGGTGGTGAGCTGTAAAAGTGACAGGTACCTACAAGGGTAATACACTACGGGCACGAGGACTGTTACTTTCAATGGTATTAAGAGTTATCTGTCTATGTAAGAGAGAGAAAATGCATGGAGATTCTTCACGTCTTTTAGGAGGATGTGAGACAACAAACTGTGAGTCCATCTTACACCGAATCCTCTGACCTGTGCAGAAGGTTTGGAGTCAAACTGCACATGAACTGTGAATGACCTCCCCCAAAACAGAGCGTGTGAAGCCCTGGTTCAGATTGGGACTGCGGCAGAGGTTTGCATCATTTCCGTGATCTGAAACGGCCCTGCAGAGCTGCTGCAAATTGCCCTGTTAGGGCAAACATACCTATCCGGAGGAGGACCTGTATAAGGACCGCAAGCTGATTCACACACACTACACAGCACACAGCTTGGGTCTGGGGCCCCCACCCTGTGTCCTGTTGAACAGTCACATGTGGACTTCAGGTTATCCTCAATTCCTGCTTGGATTTGGGTTGCAACTGTGGTGCACATGGAGAATGCCGGGGGATATAAATGCTTTAATAAATGGATAAAATAATGGAGCTTCAGTCTCCCTCCATGCCCCAGTTACTTGACCTGCAATAGTCTTGGGAGTGTAAACTCATAGGTTTCCCCAGCAGGCCAAACATCAATTGGGCTTAATCTGTACTCTCTGTAATGTGTGAACTGGCAATGTTTACCTTACCAGGGCAAATAGCAGCTCTGTAGAGTTATTTCATGTCAGGAAAATGGCACTATGTAAAGGCATAACACCCCCTCCCCAACACACACATCACAGTCCTGAGCGGAAACAGGGCCCCACACACCTGCTTTTCAGAAGAAGAAAAATGTTTGGGAGATCATTGACAGAACTCCCAGCATCAAATTCAATTTGACCCTGGTACTGGAAACCACTTGCCCAGTCACATTTACTATTAGCCCAGGGACCGGTAGTACTGGGGGTTGGTAACGCTTATTTCCACCTTCTTCAGTAATGTCCTTTTGGAGCTCCTCACACCGCTTTCTGCAGCACGGCCACTCTTTGCTGCGGTCTGGATGGCATCGTTTGTGAGGACTGGTGGGCCGGGAGAGCTGCTCCCTCCAGCAGGCCTTCTGTTCTCTTCCAACACTGTGATTCTAACGCCACTTCCGCACTGTCATTTTGGTCACTCTTTTGTCCCTATTGCTTTGGGTGTCCCCCCCCCCCCTTTCCACACGTGTTTTGCCCCCTCTGGGACTTGGGGAAAATGGCCACAGGATTCCAATGTCTACGGCACGAGTTGTGCTGGATTGCCACAGTAGGCCAAAGGACAAAATAGTGTGGGAGGGGAACAATCAGGCTGGACTAGGGTTCCCAACCTCCAGGCGGCATCTGGAGAGCTGCTGCTATTACAGTTGATCCCCAGACAATCGAGATCAGTTCCCGTGAGGGGGGGGGGGGGAGAATGGCTGCTTTGGAGAGTGGACTCTGTGGCATTAGACCCCGCTGAGGCCTCTCCCCTCCCCTCCCCTCCCCAAACCCCGCCCTCCCCAGGCTCCACCCCCAAAACCTCCAGGTAGTCAGAGCTGGCAATCCTGGGCTGCCTGGAGGCCAGAAGGCTGCATTAGACTGAGGGTGGGGGGCAGACATGACAGAGTTCCCAGTGCAGCAGGACAGGGAGGGGAGGAAAGGGGACAGTGGCAGCCTGAACACAGCACCCTTCCTCCTGGTACAAGGCACACGACACCTACAAACTGGCATGCACACCCCATTCTAACACCAACCCTTTTCTTTACCCCCCCTCCCCCCAAAACATTGGGTGCACATATTCAGCTGCACACATCCCAACACCCACACAGAGGCAATCATGTATGAGTATGCTGAGTCACATACCACAGTCTTTCCTTCATCCTTTAGCAACAGGCAGCATGGGAAAAAAGCATGAGGAGGGGAGGGGGGGGCAGTGTTCCCTCTCAGCCGAGTGAGTGTGAGCTAGCTCACAGTTTGTTATTCTCCGGCTCACACATTTTTTGTCTTAGCTCCGGAAGGAGGCCTCCAGAGCAAACCAATTTATGCAACAGCCAAATTGCTCGCTCACAACTTTAAGGCCAGTAGCTCACAAAGTAGAATTTTTGCTCACAAGACTCCACAGCTTAGGGGGAGCATTGCTCCAGAACAAGCTAATTTATGCAGCAGACAAATCACTTGCTCACAACTTTAATGCCAGTAGCTCACAAAGTAGAATTTTTGCTCACAAGACTCCACAGCTGAGAGGGAGTATAGGAAGCGACCTCAGGAAAGAACGGGGAGTAGAGGAGGGAGTCGGTCAGGCTCCCACAGGGGCCTCTGCACCCACTCTCCTTCAGGTTCTTACTACACTCATTGCCGGTGTGGCCCAGCATGGGGTTGGCTGTCGTTTCCAGAATATGGCTAGGGCATTTTCGGTGGTGGCTCCTACCTGGTGGAAAGAGCTCCCAAAGGAGATCCGGGCCCTGCGGGACCTTTCTCAGTTCCGCATGGCCTGCAAGACGGAGCTCTTCCGCCAGGCCTTTGGATAGGAGCCGCCGCCATCACTATTCCATCTGCACCCCCTATGCCCTAGCGAATTAACATCTAATTGCCTGGCCCCCCAAGGGTGGAGCGTGGCGCTGGACATGGCTCTGAGGATGAGATTGTCGGTAACTATGTGAGGTTAAGATCTTCCCTTCTTGTTGGAAATTTGCTGTAAATTGTTTATATTTTATTGTAATTTATTGTTTTTAAATTATATGTATTGTTTTAACTCGGCACGTTGTGCCCCTGTTAGCCACCCTGAGCCTTCGGGGTAGGGCGGGATATAAATGTAAATATAAATAAATAAAAATAAATAAATAAATGATGGGTCTCGGGTTTCTTTCACTTTCAGGGGAAAAATGAAAACCTCCTGGTGTCAAGTTTGTAATTACAAATGGGGGGGGATTAAAATGTGTGGGTGGTGCCTGTTCATGGCTCTGAAGATAAAAGGGAGGCTTGGGAGGGAAAACTTTGGCACCCTTTTAGAGCTTCTTCTCTGGGACTCAAATGTTTGCCTCCCTGCCTCTATATATTCCTGCAATCAGAGAGGGTCAAGCGCTAGTACTACATTTTAGGGTTTAGCTATAACAAAGCTACAGGACCTGTAACAAAAGCCATCACCACAATAGCTAGCAGAAAGGCCATTGCAATATCTGTGAGATTTTGAATCACTTCAATAATCAGCCTCCACTCAAAGTTTGCTACAAAGAAATGCAGATGATCCTTGGCAAAAGGGGGGTGTTCCTGGGTACATCAAAGGCTTCTTGCCCAAGCTCCACCTTTCCATTCAGACTACATTCCTCTTGGCTCCTGAACAGTATTCCTAATCCTGGTTTACAGATCCTGTTGGGAAAATGCCTGTCCTGCGGTCTCCGTTGTTATTATGGTCTGCCTTGTTTAATTCAGCAGGCACTTGACACAGTGGCCTGAGAGGGCTGGCTAAAAGAGAAATGGATATGGACACAGGAAGCTACCTTATACCGAATCACAGCATCCATCCATCAGTGTTGGTATTATCATTTCAGACGGGTGGCAGCGGCTCTCCAGCATTAGGCGGAGGTCTTTCACATTACCTAGGACCTGGTCCTCTTTAAGTCACTGCTTATGTCACATCAACATTCCACACTCCCTGGCCTTTGTTCCCTTGGAAAGAGAAAGGCTAAGAAAATAGCTGTTTTCCTTGACTTGAAAGTTATATTGACCAAATAAAACCTGCTGCTTGACATGAACAAGAGCTGCTGGTTTACCACACGACGGTGAGCTAGAGTAAAAAAGGGGGGTGAGGAGCTTCCTTTTTTCCTATCGAGTCCCTGCTGACTTATGGCAAGCCCTCGTGGGGCTTCCAAGGCAAGAGGCATTCAGAGGTGGTTCGCCATGGCCTGCCTCCGGACACCAGCCCCGGTACTGCCTGGTGGTCTCCCATCCAAATACTGGCCACAGCCTTAGCTACCAAAATCTGATAAGATCAGGCTAGTCTGGGCTATCCAGGTCAGGGCACGAGAACATACAAAAAGCCCCTTCTAACCTCTACGGACACTCCCAGGACTCATCTGCAAGTCTCCAAGCTTGGCTACCTTCATGATGCTGTTTAATAAGAATAATGGTGGTGCAATACTTTCATTTGTACTTTGAGCCCCTTGAGAGGGGGGCTTCTTCATTTCTCTTGTTGTATCTACCGTGTTCGTTCTGGCATGAATGGGAAGGTTGTGTGGCCATTCTCCTTGGATTAAGTCCCTTCTATGACAATTATTTTGGAGCTGGGGTGGCTCAAGTGGTTAAGACGCTGAACTGCAGGCTGTGGAAAGTCAGAAGTTCAGCAGTTCGAGACCCGAGTGTGCCGCATGGCGGAGTGAGCTCCCGTCTCTAGTTCCAGCTCCTGCCAACCTAGCAGTTTGAAAGCAAGAAATTGCAAGTAGATAAATAGGTACCACTTCGGTGGGAAGGGAACAGCGTTCCGTGTGCCTTGGTGTTTAGTCATGCCGGCCACATGACCACAGAAACGTCTTCAGACAGCGCTGGCTCTTCGGCTTTGAAACGGAGATGAGCACCGCAACCCTAGAGTCGGATTCGACTGGCTTTCGAGCAAGGGAACCTTTACCTTTACCTTTTATGACAATTATTATTCCCTACTGATTTTATTTATTTATTTAATCTATTTGTATCCCACCTTTCTCCTCAGTGGGGACCCAAAGTGGCTTACATTGTTCTCGTCTCCTCCATTTTATCCTCACAACAATCCTGTGAGGTAGGCTAGGCTGAGAGAGTGTGACTGACCCAAGGTCACCCAGTGAGCTTCCACACTGGCACACGGATCATCCCTTGTTGTCTTGAGCTGTTGCATCCTTTACTTTTGGAGGAGTGTGCGTGTGTGTGTGTACAATCTAGAGGTATGGAGGAGGCCCAGAGGAAAAAACAGAAGCATCTAGAAACAAAACAGTTTCCCCCCCAGTTTTTTTCTGAGGACTTAAACAACTTTCCAATGGGAAAATTTGTAAAATTTGGAGAATGCTGGAAAAAAACTCCCGTGAACCATTTTCTCTTTTGGAATGAATGAAATGCTTTTTAAGACAATGCTTTTCCCACTCAAAATGTATAATATAAAAAAGCATGAAGGCTTTTTCAATTTTGCCAATAAAACATTGGGAATCTTTTAGGAAGGGAGGAAAAAACTTCCTGTGAACTATTTTCTTTTCGGAAAGGAGTGATATTTTTAAAGCAAGATTTAGCTCAAAATCTGTAGTATGAAACTTTTTATCTAAAACAATCTACAGCATTAAATAAGGATAATTCAGGTGCATATTGTAGACAGATACAACATATATTAAATAATATATCTAATCTTAAATGTGAATAATTTGACACCATTTAAGGCCATAATGTGTTTACTGATAATACGTTATTTAAAAGTTCACTGCTTTCAGTGTTATAAAGCTTAACTGGTATTCCTACATATTGTGACTATGTTTCTGTCCAAATAACAATCTTTTTGGTTTACTGCAGAATTCGTTTTCTGCCTTCCATTTTAATTTTCTCCCTAGCTCTCAGATACTAAAAATTAAAATACACATGCTCAGTAGCCGCAGGGCCTGTAAAACGGAGCTCTTCCACCAGGCCTTCAGGTAAAAAGCCTCACCTAACAACCTAGGACCCTGTGCCCAACACCACCATCCAGCCTGAGTTTGCCGATAGAAAAATAATCTGCTGACTGTAATTTATTATGTCTATTGCTACTATTGCACTGCTACCGCCATACAGATTGCCCTTAGTGATTATTTATTTATTTATTTATTTATTTTTCACATTTGTATCCCGCCCTTCCAGTGGGCTCAGGGCGGCTATGTTGTGTTTTATGTTGATATTTATATTGCTGTTTTTAATCTGTTGTAATTTTATGTAAACCACCATAAGCCTGCTTCGGCAAGGAGGGCAGAGTACAAATCAAATCAAATCAATCAATCAATAGCATAGGGTGCAGCAATTCGCAATTCTCTTTCAAGAATTGGGTGTATTTGCAATTTTTCTCATAGAAAACTAAAATATTTTTGCTTTTAAATTCTATAAATGTTCCTAATATTACAATTGTATATGCTGACTAAGTTATGTGCATTTTATGTTGTTAAAACCAGTAAACAAGTTTATGTTTGATAGGAAAGTATTGCATATTTTTGCAATTTTTGCAATACTGCAATGTTCCCCAAAAATGCAGGTTTTTGTTTTTGTTTTAAACCATCCTTCTTTTCCCATAGCTTCACAATTTCTGGAAATTCTACATCTTCAGTGGAATCAAATGTCTAATAGGAAACGGCCATCATCTTGTACAACATATTTGAATTATATATCAACTTGGCTACTGTACATTTGGCACACTCCAGCCAAAGTGAAGCATGTTTAAGTTTCATCAGTTTCAATGGGGTAGATTTAGAATGCAGTTCTAAGCAGGGTTACGCCCTTTTAAGTCTCCTGAAGTCAATGGGCAGTTTGTAACTGCTTGGGAATGCACTGTATATCACATATTTTACCATCTCGTTGAAATAAATGGAACTCAGACTTGCTTAACATTGGTTAGTTTGCACCAGGGGTCATTTCCTGCGGGAGCGCACAGGAGCGGAGCTCCGGCAGTAAGGAGCCCAGGGGGTGGGATCATGCAACAAGCCCCACCCCCTGCTCTCAGTCGGGGCACGAGGAGCAAGAAGTAGCCAGGTAAGTTGCAGAGGGCCCCCCCCCCGGCCCGCCTTCAGGTACAAGCTCTCCCTCCTCTGTGAGGGCAGAACTGCGCGTCCCCCCCCCCATAGCTAGCAATCCAAAACAATCCAGTGGCACCTTTAAGACTAAGTTTTATTCAGGTACAAGCTCTCCCTCCTCTGTGAGGGCAGATCTGCACGTTCCCCCCACCCCCAATAGCTAGCAATCCAAAACAGTCCAGTGGAGCCTGAGCGGTGGGTGTTGCCTTCTGACACACTTCTGGTGATGTCAGGGGGTGTGGCATATGCAAATAAGTTATGCTAATAAGTTATTCTAATGAGCCCCTGGTTTGCACTCATATTATATACATATAATAAACCTGAATTGTTTTGGATCCAGAATTCATAGGGTTTGAGTGCTTCCTTGGCCATAGTAACTCCTTCACTAGCCCCAAGTTTACTACCGTGTGGCTCAAGAGAATTCAGCAGACCACCACACGAGTTCAGCCTAGAATAAAATGCTAGTGCTCTTAATGCATCTGTAGCAACAAATAAACCAGGGTCCATAAACAGTCTAGTGAGTGAGGGGAAATGATGATGAACTCAACACAATACCTGGGATTGGATTGTACAGCCCTGAATATTCCCTTCTGCCTTATGGCATGGAGTTTCCTCAAGGTCAAAGGGGGAAAAAGTCATAGAATGAGAGACGCCATGATGAGCATGTTCCCTATGCTGACAGACTAGATTTCAGGTTGGGGGGGGGCACGTACCTACCTATGACAACCGTTTATTACCTACAGCATCATCAATGCAACAATCAGGAAAATGATGGCAGGAGGCTGGTGAAGGTGTTAGTGGGGAAAGATAACTGGGGGGCAGTAGGAGAGGTAATGACAAGTGGCTTCAAGGGTCTGGAAGTGCAGTGGAGGGGGCTTTGGGTGGAAAGGGCTATGATGCAAGGTTTTAGGGGTTAGGATGAAGGGGCTTAGGAGGGATTTGCTGGTGCACTGGAAGGAATGGCGTAGAGGTTGAAGGTTTAGTGTGGCGTTATGACTGGGGATAGAGAAGGAAACGATGGTCCCAGCAGAATGGCCCTGCACCCCCCACTCCACACGGCCCCACAACTACTTACACGTGCAGGGAGAGGGCACGGCCCCGGTACAAGCTGAAGGCACTGCCGTAGGGGTCGCTCCCCAGAGACAGGCTGTCCTCGGACCCCGGGGCCACACCAATCAGCTCCGCCCGTGATGCCCGCACCAGCGGCTCCACCCCCAGGTGCCGGGCCTCGGCAGGTGCTTGCCTTGGAATGCTGGGGTGCAGGTTGGGTCCCCTCACCGTGGGACCAGCATCTGGATCCTTCTCCAAGACTGTAGTCTGGCTCCCTGGCCAACTGGAGTGCTCATCTGTCTGAGACAGGCCTGGCACCGAGGTCGGAGTTGTCTTCATGGAGGCATCCACCAGCGTGTCTGACTCCCCTGGCAAAAACACAAGCAGGGACTGATTGAGGGGGCTGGAACCTGCCTCTTCCCCAGGTCCCAGGCCATGGCTGTGTGCTGCTAGGACTGAGAGACATGGGTGGGTGGAGAAGCAGGGCTGACAGCACAATGCTGATTGGTAGCTATAAGAAGCGTTCCACCTCAGGGAAAGGCAGTTCTCAGGACAGCCTGCAATATTCTACAGTTTTATAGATATGGCTTAATTCTGAAGGCTGTAAAATACCCGTTTCTTGGAGCATGCAGTGTCACTGAGTATATCATGTCTAAATTTCAGGTGCCAAGAATAAGGATTTTGCTTCCCACTGAGGATTCATCAGCTGGAAAGGACAAGGATAAGGAACAAAGACCTGAGTGCCTCAGCCATCAATATGAAGTGACCTGACCAAAGACAAGAATAGTTCTATAAGGCACAAGGTCAGACATCTACAGCAG